ACACAGTGTCACAATGCGAGCGCGTGGTCACTTTTTGATCGGTGTTCTTCTGTTAATGGTGGTGGTTGGGGCACTCGGGTGATGACACCCGAGAGCATGTCACGTGCGAGGGCACTGGCACGAGGTGGTTGTCGAGCACTGTGTGCCGGCTAGTGTGCGACTGTTGCGGTGCCCACTCTCGGCCGGTCCGGTTCGTGGGCGGTCCATGTTGAGGTGCTATGCAACCGGCCGCACGGTAACAAAATACGCTTGCTGGCTAGGTGTTGGCTTGCATACGAGGACCACACTCACCTCATCACGGCAGACTATGATCCTGTGTCTATAAGGAAATGGTCTAGTATGTTATGCGTCCATGGTCAGGTTCGGCGTTTGTGACTCATGACTCATAGCGCATTGAGTCGCGATTACACGGTTTCAGGTCGGCGAAAATTTACCACATGACTTGTTTTCCAGACCTCAACGGTACCAGGGCCTCTAGATAGCTGTGAAATCGACCAAGTGTAAGTGCTTTATTTGAAATACCGCAACCACCTTGCGACAAAATGTTTTAAGGCATTCAACGTGATCTGACGCCTAACGTTGACAGTTCTGCAGTTGCAACTCACAAGTCGTCCTAAATTTTTGGTCTTACTATCGTCAGGCGGCCATTGTCCTTTCACTTCAATTAATTTAATTTTGAAATCATGACGGCAGGCGTGTGGGCGGCAACGTAGTAAAGTTTATTTACAGTCCACGGCCTTAAACAGCCTGCTTTTGTCGCGCTGGCGGGAGCGTCCGTTGGTCCAATTCTTCCCCGCTGACGAAAACCAATAGCACGAGCCTCATAATCCCCTCCCCCCCCCCCCCCGACCGATCCACTTCTTCCACGTCCCGGACCAAAACCACTAGCACGAGCTTCAAAGTCCCCCTACCAATCCACTTCTTTCTGACCCCGGACCAATATTCCTAGCACGCCCCCCCCCCCCCCTGCACCGATTGTCGCTGCCGACTGACGGTCCGCGGTGGCTGTGCTTCAGCTTCTGCGTCATCACCGACCGCTGCCAGTCGCCCGCCGACGCCTGCGGCGTCGTCTGCCCGCCCAGTCACGTGGTCTGCTCCGGCCAGGAGACGTGCGTGACCTACCGTGCCTGTCAGGGTGAGCATCACACGGCCCCGTGGTCACGTGGGTCAGCCGTCTCGTGCCGGGGCTGTTCGAAGGAATGCCGCCCAGTCACGTGCTATATTGCTGTTTGAGGACGTGTCGTTTCGGGGGCACTATACGAGCACAAAGCTGTCGGTGATTGCTTCCACGTTAGATCTTGGTACAGCACCAACGTCGAAAGAACACCCGAAGCGCAGGTAGTTTTCGAAAATTCATGCCGTTCAGCATGAGATGATTGCGTGCAAAGGAAAATGTTTTTATCCGCGACATCGAATCCATACTGCCATCGGGCCTATCGGCCTCTTCGCCCAGTTGTATGAACGGTTGTCGATTTCTCACAATGGGCAGAGTTGTGAGTCGCCATAAGGAAACGGGTCCAAAAAATTATCGGATTTCGTCCGTTGATGTTCTGGTTATCTATCTATATATATATTATGTATATGCATATATGGGTCATATACATATATTTATGAATACATGCATATATACTCACACACACACACACACACACACACACACACACACCCACACACACACACACACACACACACACACACACACACACACACACACACACACACACACACACCACACACACACACACACACACACCACACACACACACACACACACACACACACACACACACACACACACACACACACACACACACACACACACACACACACACACACACACACACACACCACACACACACACACACACACCACACACACCACCACACACACACACACACACACACACACACACACACACACCACACACACACACACACACACACACACACACACACACACACACACACATACTTGTGTGCCGTGCTTTACGGGACACCTGACTCAGCCGTCACTACCGAGAACCACCCGAACGAATGGCGGCATCGCAGCCAAATTGGAAGGCCATGCAGCCATTTGGCCATTTAAGAACAGGATGGGTCGCTCGAGGGGTAAAGCTGCCATCTTTAGCTTACACTGGCAATTGAAAATACCGAGGACATAGTGATAACAGAGGACCGTGTGTGACTTTTCTGTCATATTCAGCTGTGTATTGAGGACCAGGAAATTATGAATGCACCTAGAAATTAAGGACAAAGGGACAAAGGCTTTCAGGTCGGGGGCCTCGAACATCATTCAGAAGGACTCCTTGGGGGTTGCTGGGAAACTGAGGGCCCCTTTACCGGTGAGAGACGATGTCGAACAGTCTGTTTTGGATATTTGTCGACAAATGTTTCGCTTGAAACCAACATGTTAATTAATCAGCGAGGCAACGACCATCTCATAAACCAGTGTCGCGGCCACCTTTGAAAGATGACGGCGACAAACCAAACACGGCCAGATATCAATATGCTACCTTGTGCACAAGCGCGCAGCCAGAGCCTTGGCAATGGGCCAGGGGCACGCACAAGGTTGATAAAGGGCTCCCCAATGGTGAAAGCCCCCCCCCCCCAAACAAAAATATCGCTGGCATTGGAGTGCCCCATTGTGCCGGCCGGGGCTCTGAACAGTCTTCCAGCCGACCTTTCTGGCCTTTGGGCCCTCAAATCAGGCCCTTAATCGTAAATCCCGAGGCCCTTCGGGTCCCCTGAAACCTTAGGCAGGGGGAACGTGCCCCCTGTGGCCTTCCCTCCCTGCGCTCCTGCTTGCGCGTCAGGCTGTTGGTTTGCGTTCAGATATAGGCAAATAACGGCGGATTGTAGGCTTTCTGCTGCTTAAATCATTCATCTATAATATAAAAATCGTTTTACTCTATTTTATCATGGTGCACTTTCCGGCCGTCCCGTTAAAGTCTAAATCAAGTCGGATAAATAGTAGCATACGCCATGTTAATACCTGCTGAACACTCTTCATGAAAAAGCCCTCCCCAGGCGGGTTGATATCACCAACGGATTTTGGCTCCATCGACCTCCATACGACATTGGCTCCATGCTGTGGAATCGCCTCGGACCGCATAACAAATGACTGCAGTTCATTAAACTACCCGATGAGTGTTTGCCCCGACGGCTGGACACCCGGGACACTAAATGTTTTCCGTCCCCAACGGCCCGGTAAGAGTAGGAGAAAGGGCAACCAACGCCTTTTGGGTTTCCATGACCCTTTAGCACTAATAGTGCTAATAGTGCTAAAGCATCATCAATGACCCGGTCGGCGGCACACTACTCGACGGCGGTTTTTCCCGAAGCTTCTGCTGTTGCAACGGTTGCAGCAGAGGGCGGCCGGGGCTGAGGAGCGGGCAACGGAGGCGACGCGCCAGACAGCGGTGGAAAAATTGACTCGAGGTGCTGCTGGAACTGTTTATCTGCTGACCGAGCTACTGCAGTTTCAGGTGCTTCGGTGGGCAGCCGCCGTTCATCTCATTCGCAGGTGACTCCGACAGTCTCCTCTACACTGTCGGCGTTCCAGTCAGTATACAAAGCCCATGTTGCTCGACCCTGCTCGCGAACCCCGGTGTCTTAGGGCGACAGTACACAGCCTCTAATGCTGTGGATGTGACTGGCGGCGCGAGTGCGCGGCGGCCTCGATTGGTGGGGTACACAGTTTGTAGCCCGCTCTTGGGATACGGCTTGTGCCGGCGTCAATGCAGCGGTCTACTTAATGATGGCCTCTTATGCGACTGAGTGTGGGTTAATGGTTCGCTGTTGGTGTAACTGTGAGTCACGTGCTCACGCTACCTGTTAAATGTGCCTTTCCCACGGCTTGCGTGTGTTGGGTTTTTTATATACGTGTCAATTACGCATATGCACGTTCTTCATACAAGTGGAATCTATGGTGCGGCGGGATGTAGCTATCAGCTGCTGACCGAGGAAGGAGGACCGTGCAACACTAAAATCAATGAGTCAGTCGTTACAGTCATTGCAGTCAGTCACTGAAGCCAAACGAGCTGCCTCATAAACATGTCGGCTGTTTGGCTGATGCGAGATTTCGTGCTCGACGCCCACGCGCCCATTCCAGTCTTCAAAAACTAGTCAAAGGCCCCTGTGGCCCACCACTTCCCAATGTAACAAGTGTGCTTTGGTTAAGTGTAGTGGTGTCAGATTTGCCAACGGATCTCAAAAATGACGTAGAGAAAGAAGCATTTGCATTGAATCCTGTATTGGAAAGATGCGACAGGAGAATGACACACCTAATTTGCTTCCAAACTGACATTCAGGTATAACGCATTTTTACCAATGGGGTGGGTCTATTTCCGTGCTTAGGTGTCATCTCCCGCCCAGAATTGCAAATCTCGCCATACTGCCCTTGGTGAGCACTGCTTTTTCACCGTTCATCAGCTCCACCTACACAGATTGCTACTATAAACGGGAGCAACAACAAGGAGATCGTTTTTGTCGTTGCGAAATTTACTAGCGAGCATCATCCAAACGTGAACGAAGTCGACATCTAATGTGTAAGTCACTGAGACTCATTTCGCCTTACGACGTGCTCTAACAATCACGTTATGGACATGGATTTAACATCTCTCCATGAGCGCTAGGACGGAGCATTTTCTGCTGACAGGGCACGTAAGCATGCAGCTTGGCCAGAAACCTCCATGTGGCTAACAAACATGCCAAGCTGCCTCATCACAGCTGCCTTTTCCGCATTGCACCAGGCAATACGTCTTTTTTGCCAGTGGTGTTTTTTTTCCTGAGCGTCATTGTTAGTCTCTCGATGTGAAGATGTCTCCTCCGGAAACAAGTCTCCCTTCCCCTCTTGGCTTTTTGTCCAGGTAGGACATTTGCGACCTCCACCACACAATCGTCTTCACCCATGTCCTCCGGATCGTCCTCTTCTGCCATTGGTGCGCTGTTGAGGTAGTCGACCTCGTCCAGATTTTTCCCTTTGCAGACAGAGATGCCATATTTGGTTTATTGGTTTTATACAACACGCATCACATCGCAGCCTACCCCTGTACATTTTGCTTCGATCCTGAGCATAAAGCACAGCGACTTTAAAACATGGAAAAAGGAAAACAAAATAACTGACCCAAAACGGAACGCCAACTGTATTCTCGCTCCGTTGTTTCGTAATCTACCAACTACACACTGCACAACTACATCTTTAGAATACCGCTCCGTATTTAAGATCATCTAGAAAATGTATACAGTTTGGCTCCAATGGTAATTTGCAGGCCGTCCAATGCTTGAAAGCGGAACTTCAAATACTCGCATCCTTAACGAGTGTCGCTCTCGGGGAGTAATCTGGAAAGCCGAAAAAGGGGTGAGATATGAGAAATTTCAGTTCAGAACAGGATTGTGACCCCCACGTGAAAGAAAGTTGTGCTTGTGTTCAGAAGCGTGGGCATGCACCACGCTGATGGCTCACGGGTGGTGGAATTAAAATAGCTGTGCAATAGTCGTGTCCCGAAAGATAGCTTTCCAGTTCGCGGCAAATCCGTGAATGAATATCGGAGGCCACAGGCCTCCCGTCCGCGTACATATTACCCATCTTGTTAGAGCTCATGCACTGCCGTCAAGAAGAAGGAAGTGATGGGGCGGCGATGGGGGCGGAGAGAGGGGGACAACAATAAATCGTACTAAGCTCTAGCCACGCAGCCGAACTTAACCTGAAATTAGGCCAACAACAGCAGAGTCGCCAACATTCATCGTCAACGCGATCAGCAGCTACCGTGATTCGGACGGCCCTCATGCATGGTACGCGCGCCCGTTGGCAAACTATGGCGTGCCTGTCTTCATTCCTGTAGCCATGCACGCACAGCTGCGATGGGAATCGATTTAGAGAAGAGCAACAGTTCCAGTATCATCGCTGACCGCATGCGGCAGATGCGAGTCCATGCCCTGATGTCCTAGGCTTACTACGCCCTGTCAATGCCATGCTGTTCGTGCACGCCATACGGTTAACAGTCGTAAGACAGCGAGGCATAACCGAAACGAGTTGTGGTAAAAAGCTTATTGCCTCTAAGCTCAAACAATGCATCAATAAGAAATGACGAAACTACGACAGACAGGCGGCGGTGGCCCACAGACCGTCATCCCAGCCCCCGGGCGAGTACGCCCCCCTAGCCCAAGTGTATGTCTACTGGCTGGTTGGTAAGAGTGGACAGTTTTCTGACCACTGCCATATCGCGGGTAGTGCAGGATGAAGGTAGTGTGCGCCATGATGCAAACATTATGATATATTTGATAGATGATTTTGGATCGAGCGCGTATTGTGAGTGTGATTGCACGCTATATGTGAATGCATCAACAAAAATTACAAAAAGACCAGACAACCAAACCGCTGACCTGACCATCGCATTTGAAACTATCCGACGTCACACCGTGATACTGGCCGCGAAACAGATGGGAGGCAGCCCCAATGCACACGAACGCCGCAACTGTTTTTGACAACGTGACACGCTGGAAGACCGACACCCCTCCTTGCTGCGGATGGGCTTCTCCACGCCATTGCGAGACACTCGTCTGTCTAGGCCCCGCAGACGAGGTCTCTTCGCAGGCATTTTGGTCTGCCCGGAGTGCGCAGACCAGAACCATGCTTAGTGTCCCTTCGATGGATTTTTGGCAACACCGTTATGGCCCGGAGCCGGATGTGGCAGCCAAACCCGCTACCACAAGCTATGTTCAGTGAGCGGCCGGACCCCACGCTCATGAAAGCGTCGGTGATTCCCGCGCAAACAAACCGGCGTTGGTGATGTATATTATATATATATATATATATATATATATATATATATATCATTGATCCCGTCGTAAAATGCGTAAAACAACATATAGTAATGATCCAAGGCTTGGTTCAATCGTCCCATTCATGGGAAATAATTAAAGAAACTATGTTGCAGCAAGCATCCTAAGCCATACACATTTCACATACAATGAAAAAACCGAGACTGCCAGTGACTAAAAACTTTTTAAAGCAACTTCTGCACCCCACCTGTTCGAATTTGGCAGGGAAACTGCTTACGAGGCCTATTTCCACCATCGCCAATGCTTCTCATTGTTCTTCGGGTAGCCGTGCCCGCGGTAAATATTCTCGAGGACCCATGAGCCCGAACTCTTGACCCGAACGCCCCAAAATCTGTCCTTCCCGAAGAATATCATGCTCCATATTGCAAATAGCATATGAAAATGCTGTTGCGCGTAAGTCCTTAAGCATCCCAAATATAGCCCGAGTTACCTTTGTTGCAGTAAACTTTCCGGAGGACTTCTTTTAGAGGACTAAACTTCTTTAACTCTCCCAATGGTATACATATAGGCCACCTAAGAACAGAAATGTTTTTGCATGTTTCATTAAAGAATGACGCCATGCACCGGTGGTGCCACAGAGAAGGAGCACTAAATGTTGACAAGACCATTCAATAACGCGGATGCGGGTGTACCTACATAATTGCAGGCCGCGATATGTTAGTGGTGTTGGTGCAGGCGGTGGTGGCGTTGGTTGCAGAATAAAGTGGGGCTGGTACAGTCGACACGTGCTTGCGTAGACCAGCGATGAGGATGGTGGAATGAGATACCAAAACGGCGTTACACTGAGGTCACGCACCATGCAGGAGCTGTTATGGTCACACAATGGTAGGGGGGGGGGGGAGGCAGACATTGGTGGTGTTGGCGGGATCAGACACTGGTGAAACTGGCAGGGCAATGGGGTCAGCTGCATGGAGCCGACACTCGCATGGAGCTGGAGGGGTCAGACACCATGGTGGGATGGGTAGACCCAGACATTGTGGTGGGGTGCATGGTGTCATGCACTGTAATGACATCCTACTGCTTAAGGCACTGATAGGGATGGTGGAGCCAGGCAGTGTAGTGGCATATTTGTGGGGGTCGGACGATGCAGTGGTGTTGGCGGTGTTGGACAATGTGATGGGGTAGATAGAGAAAGAAAAGCATGCATGAAATGCTAGGTTAGAGCTGATGACAACATATTCTACATATCACAAATGATTCACACCCTCTTCAGAGTAGTCATTTCCTAAATAATTTGACTTTCCTGACATCAACTGACCTGAATCAAGCCGGTCGCACTAAGGCTTTCTGGTCTTCAATCGCTTCAATGTCCAGTAGCTATAACATCACCTGAAACAGCGACAATGCTAAAAATTATTCAGTGGGTGGAGATTAACTAAGGACTAAGTAAGTATTTTTTTGTTTTTAGCGCCCCGGAGGTGTTCATTGTATCTTAAACGTGAGGGACGTATGGACTTCCCGACATAGACTCAAACAAAACAGGGAATACCCCTTTCGGTGACCATTTTTTGGCAAAACATGCTCAGGCTGAAATCGAGGGAGGTATGGACCCTATGCCCCTTTTAGAGCCCAAAGTCGTCCACAGAGCAGAGGACCACCCAGGTAGGGAAAAATTGAATCTATTCTTGCAAAAAATCAGCGACCAAATTTTAACATACAAAGCTCATCCTGGCCGATTTTGCGAACATGATATGTGCCTTTATATGCGATGTGTGCTAGCTTAAAATAGTTAACATGTGAAGTGACGCCTGACGCGTGATGTGCGATGTCTGTTCAGTTGAAATCGCTTGCATGTATAATTGATGCGCGACTGTGATACCTGTTAACCTCAACTCGTTTGTATGTTTGAATGAAGCGTAATGCATGACGCCTACTTGCTTGAATTAGTTTGCATGTACACGTATTGTCGCCTATTCTAATTATTAGATAAGCACCGTATCGTGGTAACGGCTAGCAATAACTTTTTGTTTAATCCTCTAAGAGTTGGTGTCCTGTAAAAACTGGCTTTCTATTTCCAAAAAAGCTGAAAAATCGGGTAGGGCCACCAGCAGGCAATTTTGAATTTATTTCTGCTACTTTTTCGACATAGGCATGTTGCCGAAATATCAATTCAACTATATCTTTATTCTCCCGGTTTTTCTTCGACGAATAAGGCTATTAATATTGTCTTAGCTATGTGAAAAATACTCCTCTGCTAATGCTAATGCACTGAACAACTTACGTAATCTTGTACAACATTGATTTGAGCCAACCGACGGTGGTTACGTCTGAAAATGTATTCACAAAGCCGGATATGAACGACGCAACGGTCATATGATGGCTTGCCTTAATCGCCTCATGGGCCAATGAAATGGCAGCATTTGAAGACATTTACGCGTTTGTGGGTGCCTGGGTGACCTTGAAAATAGTCACCACGAATAATATTCGCACCTTTGCAGGTGTGTAGATCAGAAACTAGAAAGGTTTACAAAATTAGAAGGGTTGCTTAAGGATGGCAGGACTGTGTAACATACTGAATGATCTTCAGGATGGCTAATTTCAATTGAAACCCATACAAATGTGGCACACACCCTTTTATGCTCTGGTATCTACCACACACTAAGGTTCCGATGTATGGAAAACCTTATGTTTGAAATGATTTCCCCTTCAAGGCTAAATTGATGCCCAAAGCCTCTGAAAACGTGTTGTTCTAGGGGGTTGGGGAACATGTCTGTAGGTACCTAACGGCAACATTTTTTAAATGTCATACAACACCCACTGCAAATGCATGAGAAAAACTGCAAGCATCCCCCTTACA